CCACAAAAAAAAAAAAAAAAAAAAAAAAAAAGGCATACATTATAAACTTCGTATTTGTGTGAAATTTTATTTTATTTTTTTGCTGGAACTGGGGATTGAACTCAGGTCCTTGAGCTTGCCAGGCAAGTGCTTATTCTACTAAGCTATCTCTCCAGCCCCTTGTGTGAAATTTTAAAACAACATAAAAGAATACTGTGTTGTTTGGGGGTGTATACATGTGATACAGAAAAATGAGGGCGAATAAGCACAAAACTCAGGCTGAGATTGCCTCTGAAGGATGAGCCTAGAGGGACAGGCTGGGTTGGAAAATATATGCTCAACCTTGGTGTTGATGGATACATAGGCATTTGTACGGTTGGATGTGTGTAGAACGCTTTCCCCTGGTATTGTTTTGGGCAATTATTCTCCTACACCGTGGTCAGCAAAGTTTCTGTAATGGACTGGATGGTGAAATATCTGTGGCTCTGCAGACTGTGCTGTCTCTGAGGAGCTCCCACAGAGGAAAACTACTGAGCTGTGCCACCGTGGCCGGAAGGCAGACTCAGACAGTGTGCAAACAAGTGAGCATGGCTGGGTTCCAATGTAACTTCGTGCAAAACCAGGCAGGGCCCCTGTGGACCGTGGTGTGCTGACTTCCCTGAACTGTGTTCTTAAAATTGTTCCTCTGGCTGCTTCCCTGTCCTCCTGGTGACCCCTCTCACGTCTCCTCACTCAGTCACACCAACGACTCAGAAAGCTGGGAGGAACTGCCCTAGGTAGTGTGGGGTCAGTTTCTTTTCCTGAAAGGGCAGCTCTGCTCTTTATGGCTGTCATTGGCCTAAATTATGACTGCATTTTGTTAGGGTCTCCTTCTCTGTGTTAACAAGACTGGTTTTCAACCTTGACTGCTATAAAGCCAGGCTTTGAGGGGAGCTTTTGTAAAATACTTTAGTTGGTGGTGGGAGTAGGGGTTGTAGCCATGTGATTCCCAGTAAGAGTGTATATGGAAGACTCTGGAAGCAAGGCAGTCTCCTCTCACAGGCGTTGTCTTTGTTCCCAGGATGACTACATGGAAGCCCTGGCCAGGCTCCATCTCACAGTGACCAGGGCCTACAAGGTGAACACTGACATCAACTTCGAGGTGTTTATTCATAAAGTGGATGGTCTGTCAGATGACCACAAAATCGAAACCCAAAGAGACATTCACCAGAGGGCAAATGATGACCTTGCAGATGCTGGATTAGAAAAAATTCACCTCAGGTAAGAACAGAAGTCTCTTAGGGATTCTAATATAATAAAGAATGGAAAAAAGCAGCTTTGGGCCCTAGAGTCACCTTGGTTAGCTAGAGTACTAAGCTATGGGTACTGATTTATCTTGTTTACCTTCTTGTGCTATAGACACTAGGAGAGGATTTAGCAAAACCAGTGGTGGCTTTTTTGAGATAAGGTCTTATAGTTCAGGCTGGCTTTGAACTCCCTATGTAGCCCAGCCTGGCTTTAAACTCACCACAGTCCTCTCGCCTCAGTCTCCTGAGTGGTGGGATTACAGTTGTGTGCCACTACTCCTGACAGGAAAAATGAATTTTGATCATACTAATTCTAATCTTTGGCGAAAGATTTTTTTTTTTTTTGGAACTGGAGATTGAACTCAGGCCCTTGCTCTACTGAGCTATCTTCCCGGCCCCGAAAGATTGTTTTTAACAAGTGGTCAAAGCTAAGGTTTTTCTTTCATATGAAAAACATAGGCCAGGGAGATGGCTCAGTGGAATAAGTGCTTCCCTGGCAAGTGCAAGGGCCTGAGTTCGATCACCAGTTCCGGAAAAAAAAAAAAAATCCTTAAAAAAAACTCATAATGGTCCAAAAGAGAAAGTAGATACTGTAGAATGGAAAGAAGCTGTTCAAAGGAAAGAAAACTGGGATGAAGGAAAGGAGAAAAGAAAGAAGGAAAACACACACACACA